TGCATAAGTATTAGTCAGTTATTATCAAACGTGTTCACATCTATTTCATACAATAGTGTAAGCATCATGTAGGTACATAAAAACATGTGGACATCAGTCAAGTACATACAGACATGTGAACATCAGTCAGGTACATACAGACATGTGAACATCAGTCAGGTACATACAGACATGTGAACATCAGTCAGGTACATACAGACATGTGAACATCAGTCAGGTACATACAGACATGTGAACATCAGTCAAGTACATACAGACACGTGAACATCAGTCAAGTACATACACACATCTGAACATCAGTCAGTTATATACAAACGTGTAAACATCAGTCAGATACATACAAACGTGTAAACATCAGTCAGTTACATACAAACGTCAAGTGTGTAAACATTATCAAATTATATACAGACATAAACTAACCACCGTGTATAACTCAGAGATTTTACAGACAGATGATCGTTCATGAAATAAAATCATACGTTCATGTCAGGGTAATATGGAATTAGGCAACCCCTTTAGATATAAATTGATATCAATCCTTTCAATATATACGAGACGTGAAAAATCATTTAACGTGATTCAATTTAGTATTGTATTGAATCATATGAAGTATCCTACGTGTAAAAATCTCGGTTAACTACCCACATATTTTAACTAAAGCATTTCAATTTCAGTCAATTAAACTCACTTAAGTCACAACATTTTCATTCTGAGCCAAATATCTACGTTCTGACAAGGGTAGAGCTGCAAAATGGAATTTCTGGAATAGTTTGACTGCTGTTGGAAAAGCTAGCGTTTCTACAGTTATGTAATTCGGATTGATGCTTGACAGCTGTCAGTGTTAGGTAGAGTAAACAAGGAAGGCTAACATTTACACGGAAGTATCAAAGCTACCTTTTCGATTTTTTTCCTTCTGACATTGAAATACGACATATGTATTTTTGTGGGTTCACGAGACAATTAGCAATCTGGATCGGTGTCTCTAAACATTTTCACGTCCGATTGAAATTTCGAACTCCGGTCGTGTCACCGAGTCACCCGGTCTCTCAAAATGTGGAAAAAATAGCAAACAAACATATATAAAGTTTTTACCAAACATCATTGCATGACAGGGTACATTTGAAGGCGCAGATACATGCATGTCTTTTTCTGGAGTAAGGGTCAGGGGATACTCGGTATCCGATGTTGTACGAAAGTTCATAAACCTACTTTCTAGGTCCTTGACTTACAGAAAATCTGCACCACGCTGGTAGTGTGTAGTGATGGCCTAGTGACCTTGCACTACGTCAGCAAACATACACCAAAGGTCTTATATTCCCTTCCACAGATCTTATCGTGACAGTGTAGAACAAAGATGCTGATATTTTTAAACTTTTTTTATGTACTTCCGGTGATGTCAAATTAAGTATGCCTTGTTTAATTATTTTCCATCCGTAGTTTACACATATTGCTGTAACAATTAGCCGTCTGTATTGAAGCTTCAAAGTGTTTCGAGAATATTCAGATGTTAAGACACGGTCTCAAGAATGTGTTCGTTATGGTGTTTTTAACGAATTCAACAAGTCTTAAACATTTTTACCACACGTTTTTAGTGAATATTAAAAATTAGCAGTTTTTAAAAAGAACACAGGTCATCCGATCATTGGTCATTTAGATTTGGGTATACAAGATTGAATTAAGATTTACAAAACGATGTGATGTATGTATAGACCTCAGATCATGTTGAACTGACAGTATCGTGTAAGAGTGCATAGTTCCCTTGTTCTGTTGAGAGTTAATGCATTATAGAGACATATGTTAAACAGTTTGTTTAATGCAGTCTATAGATATGTATATAATCAGAACATTTTGAAAGAACCAATGTCACGTGTTATACGGACAATGAGTTGCCACTTGTATGCTAACAAAAATGTCAGCGAATTCAGGGTCGAATTGATGTCAGGAGTAGTATTTGCTGCTACATACACACCAGTCACAAAACAATATTAATTTCAACTTCAACTATTTACTCATATTGACCCGAACATAAGCAAACGAGAGGTCTTAGTGTGGGAGGAAACCGGAATACCCGGGGAAGCCCCTTGTGGCCGAGAAGGAAACCCAATCTTTCACGTCCGTCCGAAATGGCGAGTGTGTTACACAACACTCGACCACCCTAACAAAGGATAGAGGACAATATTGTCTAAGGTCACGTGATATATATTTACAATACACTGAACAGGATACAGGATGCTTATATGTATACCGAAATGTACACAGGTGACATGGTTTATGTATATTGACATTGCTGCCCCAACTCACGTGCGATAGTATATTTATACTGACATTGTTGTCCCACCTCACGTGCTATATTGATATTGTTGTACGGATCACATGTTATATATTTAGATTTGTATATTAACATTGCAGTCTCGTATTATGTATATTGACATTGCTGTCACATGTCACGTGTTTTGTATATTGACATTGCTGTCACATGTCACGTGTTTTGTATATCGACATTGCTGTCACGGGTCACGTGTTATAGGTATATTGACATTGCTGTCACGGGTCACGTGTTATAGGTATATTGCCATTACTGTCACGGGTCACGTGTTATAAGTATATGGACATTTCTGTCACGGGTCACGTGTTATAGGTATATTGACACTTTATTCGTTGTGAGGAGATACCGGAATCGTGTGGTGTAATTTGTTTTGTAAGTTTACAAGGTTACTTCCTATACTGTATCACGTAAATGGGAATTAGGTCATGTGCGATACCAACACATATTCGTTCGCTGTAATTCTCCCGGGGTTATGGTTATTTAAATGTTAACCAAGCGATAAATACCTACTGCATTGTTAAGTAAGCTTGATCTGCTTACTGCAGAGTACTGCATGTCATGAGATCATAAAACTAAATCGTGCATCACAAACTGGATTAGCACCGCCAGATGGTGTAGTATCAGTTACCTTATCCTGTGACTGTAAACACCAAATGTTACACATTTTGGGGGACAGATGTGTTATTGCGTGGTTACATAAAATCTTCCGTAGATAAACATTGTATAACGGTGAATTGGATTATTTAGGTAAAAAAAATAATGTACATTTTATGTATATATTTTTTTCATTTGTACCTATGTCAATAATATATGAAAGAACGTAACTATATTTAACTAACCATGAACTTGAGAGGGTGTTGTATACTGATATATATTACAATACTAAAACATTTTTCGAAACATTTTCTTTGAGCTTGTCATGTCATAAAAAACTGTTTTCATAACCTGTGTTTATGACCCATGAAGCGTACTAGCTCTGACAAAATAAGTGTATGAGATGGTAAGGAGTCAACCGGGTTTTCGGCTGTTATATAATCATATGCATACTTCAAATAGTGTGACGAGATGGCAAACAGATCCTAGGAAAGGTACACAAGATGGTAACACTGACGCATAGTCGATACGGCTACACTTTGTTAAACATTTGGTTATAGAGTATGAACAAAATAATCGACAGAGAAAACAACCCTTTTCATGTGGCAGGTTAAGGAAACCATCAAGATACACCACAGCGGGACAGTACTAAAACCGGGACGAGGGGGGCCACATACTCACTTCTCTAATATATAACCGAGTATTGAACAAAGTGTAGCTGAATCAATTACAGTGCATTGTTACCGTCTTGTATATTTTCTTTTCTGTAATCTGTGTACCACCTCCTCACACTGTATTCGACCTATAGGATTATTTGTACAACTAATAAAGTGCCGGTTCCTTATTATCTCATACATTACCTGCGTCATTTGTCTAATGAAGGTGACCGTGTAGTCATCGAAACCTCACACTCAAAAATTTCTACAGTTTGTATTATAAGAACCTTTATTCAGATACTGGAACCAGTAAAAAGGTATTGAGGCATAGTATGTTTAATATAATCAATTGTGTTTCTTTTCTTTGATTTATCGGTACCATGACTAACAAAATGTCGTCGCGACAACTGGAAACATTTGAGCTGCACGGAAAACCATGATCTGTGACTGATTCTACATTTAGAGTAGATTCGAACAATAAAAAATAATGTTATTGATCGCTGTGCGTAAAATGAAGGAGTGATGTAAATTATAACCGATTTATTTTATTTGCAACAAAAAAAAAACAAAAAAAAAACAGCAACAGAGTGTAGATAAACTGACAGAATATGTACTTAGCCTTAGGGGCCCTTTGACCCTCTGCACTATCCGTACAAATATCTGTCGACGATATTCGGAAACCATCAATACTTTTCATTGTGGTGATGGAGTGAACACAGAGAAGATATTCAGAAATATCAATACTTTTACTACGTTGTGGTAACGGTGTAAAGACTGACACAATATCTGGAAATCGTCTGTCCGTCCGTTACAGCTTCTTTGTAACTGCACTACAAAATCTTGTAATTGTGGTTACGAACATAACAAGCGATATACCTTTATGAATATATTTCTCTACCTCTATAAGTAAAACAGCCATGCATTTTCATGAAGTAATGCTTTATTTAGGTTTTAATTGTTTCATTTTTTTTTTATGAAATGTCTTCTGTACTAATTTACGTTTCCAGTCCATCCACACAGACAAAGTTTCTGCTGTGTGGTATTTACATTATACTTAGCAGTGAGAACATTGTAATAGGTGTAAACGACTATGTGTTCATTTGGCATTGACCTGCAGCCGTATTTGATGAGGAGACGACAAATTGGGGAGTGTGAGAGGCGGTAGGCACCAGTAGAGGGTATAGGAGCAAATCAACATTGTAGCAGAATGTTGTGATTAAACAAATCAATTCCATATGATTGTATGGGGAGTCTCGGCTGTTGGGTTGATGGGGAGCCTTGGAGAATGTGCTATAAAGCCATAGCAGGCGGCAACGAAATACCTATTAGAAAGCAATGTATTCTGAGTAAACAATTGATTTGCGGATCATATGGTTTCTCTTGTATGAAAAACATTTCTTACTTTTCATTTATTTTTTATTCAGAAAACAGAGTTTTCCGAAAACAGCTAATTGATGCCCACAATGCATTGCGAGGTTGCCATGGAAGCCCGAGGCTTGCGGAAGTGGACGATTTGACACGTGATGCGCAGATGTGGGCTGATATTATTGCAGAAAAAGGGTTCACACAATACAGTGAACTACCTGGTAGGTACAATTTCAGTAACCATAATAAGCTTACTGATATCAATAAAATCACCCCCTTTTTACTTACCTTTTCTTTTAATTTGGTTCTATATTGCTTAACGTCCAATTAGCTGCTGCGGCCTGAGTATGGGAGATGAGTACATATTATGTTGGGTCCGTGTATCTGCGGGAGTCTGCAATTTATTCATAAACAGAAGTCTAGTGTACATTTTGTGCGACCGATGTAACTGCTTCCAGCCTCCAGCAGAACACCCCATTAGGTCACTATATACATTTTCTGATGATGGCAGAACCGGCCGGTACAAACACACAATACAAAGCGTTAAGGAAGGACGAAACGATTGTATGGTGCAGTTTTATTCATTTTTTTCTCTGCTGTATCTAACTCTAGATTTGTATTTAAATATACTCTTTTCTTGTGTGTGTTTTGTAATATCTCTGTAACTACTTTTTGATAGGCTCTCTTATATGCGGGCCAGGGATCAGAAGTTAAAGACGTCCTCATGGTGGTGAGGCCAAAAGTGAGACGATGTCAACTGTCAAAGGAGACATTGGAAAAGAAATATTATTTCGATAGATAAGATCAAGTCCCAAATTATTCAGTCACCTCTTGCTATCATGCAGTGGGGGTTAGCAGGGACAATGTTTTGGTCCGTCTTGTAAGAGTTATTTTCCTATCTACTTAGTAATACTACGTATATCGTACATCGGAATATAATACAGACATTCCATTGGACAGTGGACGTCACGTATTGACCGTTAATAGACGCCAATATGCATCACTTTGGGATTTCGAACGGCCAAAGAAGACATGCATCACAGCTAATATGTGATAGTTATCCGTTATGGTCACTGACTGGGTACTTTGAGGTTTATAACTAAAATAGGTAGTTTATTGAGGTAGGAAGTAAAACAAATCCTTTTATTTCTTGACCCTTGTTACCTGTGATGTTTAATGAAGTAAAATGATTGAAAACAGCTGCATGATTTATCCGCTTTCATGATGACGGGATAGTTCCTTAATGAATTAATAAGTTTTTTACTGACGATCCTTAGAGATATAGAGGGTCGTCAGATTCATATGAGATCTCGGCTTCACCTTGTATTCCTATCATCTGTCTGACTCGCGATATTTTTGTAAACTGGCCGTAACTAACAATAATAGACAATATCAGACTAGTACTGACAGGATGCATAGTCGACATACAGTGTAATGTCCTCAGTACGTAACCTCATTCAACGAAAATTTCAGGAATAGGTAACACGTTTATACCTTTATGTAGCTGGAAGTGGTCAGTTTGTCCTATGTGGGCCTGTAGATTAAATTACCAACAGATGGGGTAGATTAGTAAAATGGTAATAAATCGTGTATGATGTATTTTTATGATAAATTTTGAACAACTGTTTTTATTTTTAAAATATACAGGGAGAGGAGAGAGCATCGCCCTTATGGACACTAACGGGCTGGAATTAGATGGCGGTGATGTGTCCAAGTTATGGTACAATGAAAGGGACCAGTTCGACTTCAACGACCCAAAATGGAAAAAAGGTTGTCTAAATTAGAAACTAGTATTAACATGCATTTTGGAAAATCTCCGAACACATTTTATATTAAAATTTAAGTTTAAAATAGAAAATAGAGAATTTCCTTTGACTGTAGTGGCACCTGTCACTAAGATTTTGGTGTTGAAATGTAAGGTGCACATCAGGTATCTAATTTTGATAAGTAGATAATGAATCCTTTGGTTTGAATTGTTGATCGAAATCATTTTGATCAATAACCTGACCAAGAGATATGATATAAAGCGTATGAAACAATATATAACTATATTCAGCATCAGACTATACAATATCGAACCATATACAATATCGGGCTGTATAGAATGTCTGACTATATACAACATCTGACTGAATACGATATCTAACTATCAACCTCCCATTTATGGCTTCATCTCGAATGAGACTTGGTTACAATATGTCAGCCCTGTACTATGACCAATTGATCTCTAAAACATAGAATCAAGATATTTTGTTAATGATCTAGAATGTCTGATCGTATGAAACATATGACCTTCAATGAACACCTTGCCCATTTGACCTTGACCGTGTAGAACATCTGTTTCTATATAGCTTTTAACCGACTAGAACATTTAGATATGACTGAGTAAACACTTCTTTCCACAGGGAACTTCTAATCGAATGAAACTTCAAACTGTCAAAACCATTCGACAGTATAGACCATAACTGAGAACATTCAACTCTTTTTACAAGGTGCAATTTAGTGGAAATTTTCTTAAATTTTTAGATGCTTCAGTAACGCATTAAATAAGCGATTAACATACCGTCTTTACCTTTCAGCCACCATGAACTTTACTCAGATGATTTGGAAATCTTCGACCGATGTCGGAGTAGGCGTGGCCAAGGTCAAGGACAAGGACAAGTGTGTGGTGGTAGCTCAGTACCGACCTGTCGGTAACGGCAACAGACCAGGGGAATTCCGAAAGAACGTGCCGGCGTCTCTATGATGCTTGAACAACAGATTTTCATATGCACTGAATATAGGCGACTCTTTAATCCTTACCTTAGATATTGGGTTGCTAAAAATATCTTGAGCGGCTCTGTGAAGTGGAAAGGTTGCCAGAGATTCCATTGGAAGAAGACGTTTAATTCATTATCAAAACACCTATCCTTGAACCACACTGAGAAATGATGCATGTTAAGATTGTTTACAAGTTGATATTGTTTACATGTTTTGTTTGTATACGGTCTTTAAAGTGATGATCCATTTAGTCTACCTTAATTGTATTAGTCTGTGTAAATTTTTAATGTAAGTTTGTCTCCGTAGTTGTTAATGGATAATCAATGTTATTGTGACCACATCGTATTAAGACATTGTTACTATGACATTGTGCGTATTTGTTTTGGTTCGACTATCTTTTTTTCCTTAATCTACATAGTGACTTATTCATTATGTCCGAATAGAAAACCTGACGGTATAGAAATCACGTCGCCTCGCCTCATTTGCTTGAATGTTTAAATGACAAACTCAAGTTCCTGGGAATAGATAGCTCAACTTGTGACTGGCTCTACAAATATCACACAAACTCACCCAGTATTGTAGGCCTGCATACGTTTTTAGCTGTCTTGACTACTTTACGTTTTTTTTTATTACTTATCCTAGTGTACATGTTTCATACTTATGGCCAAGTCACCTTACACCTGACTTCTGGGTGTCACGTGTGACTGTCTCGTCCGACTTGTGGCCCGTTCACCTTGTGGGTAATATTTCACCTTAACTTTGAGTAGTGCACCTTGTTTGTGTATTTTTATTGATTCACCTTACTTTGTCCACTTTCTATGTTTTATCTTGATACTGAAATGTGAATATAATAATTAACAAATGGCTTCTTGTTGGTCAGTATTGTAAAACATTATCGTAACCTGATTGTTGTGCTGGTACGGATAACACCAACAACTAGTTTATATAGAAATATTTTACTTTGTTGCAGACAATAGTCACTCTCTGTCACATGGTTTCTTTTTATGATGTTTTGAAATTGAATTGATCTCAGCTTTTCATCTTATCTAGCTACAACACCATGTCAAACATTTAGAAGTTTATTTTCTACATTAGAGTTTTTATCAAACAAACCAGTCTTACAGATATGAAGTAGTTCACTAGTTCATTTCAAAGCTGTTACGTCAATAATGGGCCCAAACTGAAGTCCGTATAACTGAGCCTGGGCTTGAAAGTCTATCGGAGGTATCGGAACATTTCTGTACTTCTGGAATTGGAAACATTTAGATGTATATCTGAACACTGATAACCAATATGTAGACATTGAATCGTTGCCCAACCATAATATTTCAATTTCTGTTACTCATTTTCATCTCCCATTGTCGTGCTTGGTTCAAAGGTATAATGATAAAGTGATTTGCTGCCAATATTTGCATCGTTAAGTAACGAGAAATAAAAACACAAATCATATCCATGTTCTTTTTATAAAATTTGTTTTCTCGGCATCATGTCCAAACTTTTAAACCAGTATTGCAAGGGAAGCAACTCCCATATTACATATTATAAGGAAGGGAAATCACTCCGCTGTACACAGGGAAGATTATTTGACCCGGTTAATGGACATCACGATAAACATTTTTTTTCAGATTGTTTTTATTATTGTATCATATATATAGAATTCCAGGAAATTCTTTTCCCCATTCCGATAATAACTAATTTTTACATGTTCATTCGGATAATAACATGTTATCATTTAAGTATCGGATCAGGTAAAATTACTAGGAAGTTAAGGTGATATGTGAATGTTTTTATAAGGTATACACATGGTGAGTAGCCCCAAAGAAGATATATATATATATGCTGAAATATGCACATTCAGATGTTACTTGATGAAAAGAAAATCTCTCCCCGTTTATCAACAGTCTATTCTTTTCCGACAAAATATGATAACGCACGTGCGCAAGGCATCACATCGGTGAACAAAGATTTGCGTTTTGTTTGCAATAAGTGTACTTCTGGAGTGAGACATTTACATAAGCTTTTAATGTCACAATTTTCTTATTTGTGAATTAAATGTCATTTATCAAACGACTACTTTAACATAACACATTCGGGTGCCGAAAAACGTATTTACTTAAGTGTCACTACATTTTTCTCCGCAATAACAGGTGCTCGTTTAAAAAAATGAACCGCCTCGTTTTCGGAACTGTCACGTGATGTTATCAGCTCTGATTTGAGTTGGGTTCTCTAGTATATTGAGTGGTCAAATTGGGCATTGGAAATTGACTTTTGATATCAAGATAGCATAGAAACATAACGCACAACCAATACAAAACAAATAACGTTTTTACCGTATGTCCCTTAAACCAATTCAAAATATCAAAATCTTATCAAAAGAACATAAAGGATGTCAGGTTTCGCTAAAATAATTTAGTATTCAAAAGGGAACTTCTTGCGAACGGTAATGCAATCCACAATACCCATAGCAACCAAATGAGTTTTGTATTTAATTCACTCTTCTCAACAAATAACATGTGTATTCAAAGATTCTGTTCTGCAAGTCGTAGCTACTCTTGAGTCATATATATATTATCATCAATAAGGATAGAGCAGTCCTTTATCATCGACACGGCCATCAATAACGATGATTATTTAATATACAATATGTGTTGTGGTAAGCGGCAGTACGTTAGAATGTATACGGTGGCGACCCAATAAATCGTCAGAACAGGACCAGAAAGGCTGTGCTTTTCCTACAAGTAATCTGTTGTCGATGTCCCCCTTTTTCACATGGCCTAAGCGGCCTGTCTGCAATGTACAAGATGTAAATCATCCGTAAAGTTAATTTTGCCTACATGTTATGTGTTCGAATATTTGAAGTTATCCGTACAGTTCATAAGTCAATTAGGCCTATGACTTAAGTGTAGAACGGATATTGTGTGGTATATTTTTACTATAGTGTTATATGTGGAGCAGTTTCAGACCCAGCAGAGTTAACCTGCACTGGGTACAAATATATCTATTTACTCATTTCATTTACTAAAGTAAATATTATGTACAAACGAAGTGTAATTTCTCTTCCTTGACATCATGTCTGTGGTTTTCAGTTCTGTTTAGATGGTACGGTTCCCGTTCTTTATAATGAAATAAATGAAATGTACATATTACAGAAGTGTTTCTTATCATGACGTCATTACATAATGATATGACTGTATGTGTGTTCAATTGTAGGCTGGATTGCCTGTCGTAGTTTGTCTAATTCCCGCTATGCTACCCTTGTTTAGCATTAGCAAACACAATCTAGCCGAGAAAATTTGCACAATGGCAGGTAATCATGAAGGATGGTCTGGAGGGGTTTTGTTTTCGACATGCGATTTGTAATCAATAACTTTACCGACATATTAATTAGTTTATCTATATTAGTTTGTCAGTAAGATCACACGTCAAACATTTGTTCTCCGTCACTCCGATATTTCGAAACATTCACAATCTTCATACTTTATGATATTCTCCGACCTCTCACTGCAGCACATGAAGATACTTGCTCTAAGTAAGAGTTATCGTTCTTTACACAAAGAAACGTGATTGCTACTCCTCAGCCTATTTTACTCAATGGCTACAACGAACCTATTCGTTAACACATGATTTTACCAAATACCAAATATAACCCTTCAAAAGTAAGAATCGGGAGGGGGTATCTTAGAAAGATGTTTAGTGTAAAGGTTTTATAATCACTCTTTACATTGATCTCATTCTGAACTATATGTATTTAGATGAAATTGTATAATTTTTTCAATTTCATAAAAATAAAAAGCCAGATGATTCGATGGACATTACTAAACAAGTTAGTTCGCAACTATATAAGATACGTCATCATAAAGTTATATGCAATTTCTTCGAAGACGTCATCAACGCAAATGACGTCAGCAGCTCTGCTATTCTGACTTGTTGACGTTTTGAAAGGATCGTTTCGGAATATCATGTGTTGCCATTACCAAGATTTTGCAATCATGAAGGATGGAAAAGAAAACCAAAAGATATTGGACGACTATATGAAAATGGTGTGATGATTTTTTGTTGGGTATTAAGTGTAACCTGATCGTAATTTTGTTCGGGTGCATGAAAAGAGAAGGTAGATAAATAATATATAAGTTGTTCATAGTCTGTATGTACAAAGTCACAAAAAGGTAGGTCTGATTTGAAATATCTAATCATAACATAAATGATAATAATTAAAGACAACACTGTACGTAATATTGCTGACAACCATACCAGTACCATCAAATGGTAATACCTTATCTTTGTATAGACCTAAATAATGAAAGGATGTCATTCTATTTACCTTTCACCCGGATTGGCTTTATATCAACTGTGTACCCTGTTAACAGTTTATTTTTTTATTTATTTATTTTTTTTTTCGTTCGCAAATACCTATTAAAAATCAAAACAAAGCGAAAACCAGAAATACACCGTTTAACCCTCCTGCTAAACCAAATACTGACGCCAGCAAGTCCAATCCCGAGAACAGCCATAATAGCATGGTTCCTCTTGTCACCATAAATAGCAATTGTATTGAGTGGTATAGACACAAATTTAACTTGCTTATTGATTTTCTAGTGTAAAGTCTCTCAATTTCTTGAATGATTACATTTTACAATGTATTTTTTCTCTCGTTTGAAATAAAATTGCTCATTGATATTTCATGAAAAAGTGATGCGGCTCTCAGTCACGAAAAAGGGTGTCTAGTGTTTCTTTGGGAATTATTTACGTTTTCGTGTCTTGGAGTGAATTGATGCGATTCTCAGAATAGAATAACCACAGTAATTAAAAATGAAAGTCGATCCTGTCAGTAAGTGACGATATCTTGTTTGAAATAGATTCTACAGTTGTAATTTGGACTCTCAAATCGATGTCTCCTTAAGCAGACGAATAATGATTTTGCGGCAAAAATTACATGTTTGATGATAAATTTGTTCTATTATATAGTGATAGTTTTGTAAAGTTATTTATGTTTTTCCTGAATCTCTTACTTATATCGAACAACTTTGGATATGTCAGTACACTGTTTACTGATACTGTACCGAAGTGAAAGTGAACGGAGACAAGATTTTGTTTACCAAGGCGAAATATCTATCTCCATAACTGACCGAATCACTGTAAGTTATTGGACACGGTCTCATGTAATACAATTTGGCATACTGATGATATATAGACGAATACAACACAGAATGTAAATATTACATTTATATCTATCAGGATTACTTTGTGGTGGACATCTCACCTTGACCACCGATGATGTATTCATATGCTTGACAAGATGGGCGTTTGTGTGCAAGTTCAACAACGTTTGTAAAGCAGGTATTGTTTTATATGGAACATATCAGAACATAGTAGTCGTTCGCCAAGAGTTACGTCCCCTTCACATCTCCGTCGTAACAGGCTTCCCATTAGAAAGATACGACATTTGGCATGTTTTTATTAAAGTTAAGGTACAAATGGTTGTTGCTACATCTATTACATTTCGTGACAACGACACAAGGATGTTTTATGCATGCTCCAGTAGTTATAATGAAAAGCAATCAAAGGAAACATCCGTAAAATTACTCGAGTTCATCTTGCAGCTTGCTGCTATTACAACGTGAAACACCATGGCGGACGAACGGGTTTCCCCAAGTTCAATATAGGTTGCTATAAATATTTATCCAATAAGCTATTACGCTCGATATGACGCATTAGGGATTTAATCCCATCTGTCAAATGAAATTGGTCAACAGAAAATCTATTTTAAGCCCGTAATTACCGGCATGACGATGCAGTGTTGATGCAAATAGACGCCTTCAGAAATAGTTCCGGGCCAAGGAAAAACGGACCAATGACAACAAAATTGAAACAGTAACTTTATTAACAACAATAAATTGACATTCCTTGTCAAATAAAGCATATATCAAAACTAGATATACATATATCCATTATCAAAAGCCATCACTCCACAACTATTTTTTTATTTAAAACGAAGTCAGAAACACTTGCACATTTATATGTAGCCACAATGGCTTGTCTAGATAATTAAGATAATAAAAATAATTTCGAAAAGTCCCTGTGATTTTATTAATTTTGTAAATATGCTTTTTTTTCTCACATGATGTACAAAATATTGCCCCATTAGGATATTCTGACAAGGTGAAGTTAACGACGCCATCAAAAGACCATGGCTGCAATAGTAATAATGGTATTGACTTATCTGCAAATAAATTGGCAACCATACAACTTAATGCTAGAATCACTGTAATTCCTCCACCAGTATGAGTGATTTACATTATTCTGATAGTGTAACAAACAAGCTCTGTCCCGTCAGTTTATCCTAATAGGGATCTATGAAGGTATAATGGAATGCTGACAATATTCATATATTGAACAATCATTTTAATTTGTCACACGAAAAAAAAAAAAAAAAAACAAGAGCCTGTTTCAGGTCACGAAATTAGCCTGTGATTTTTTGAGACTATCACCTACACTATTTATGCTGTATATAATATATTGCATTTGTTTCAATGGTAATTGCGTAATACTTTGCAAAGTTATTGCAGACATTGAAAAGGTTACAGACATTAATGGGCCGTAACTCTAAAAGTTGTGGATCAAAAATCATGGAAATCAAACTCAATCTAGCTTTGATTGTACTTTTGCAATGAAAGTTAAAAGAAATCTGTTAAGGCTTAATAAATTCCAAAATCGCTGGGACATTGAAATGTTTATACGGACGGAAGATGGACGGATGGAACGAGAATACCATAAAATGTCCTGTCATTTGACGGATGTATAAAATACATAAATATCAAGAAGTAAATAAATGTAAAGATCATAAATCTAAAATAATAAGCAAAATCACTTGAGGTACGCATATTGTGCATAAAAATACATTGAAAAATTAATTTAAGATTTGGGCCTTATCGGTCACCTTAGAATCAATCACTTCACAAGCAATGGTAAGAACTGACAGTATTTCTGATATTGATTTACATTTATTATTAACAGCTAATAGTTGTCTGCTGTTTAAAGAATTATAAAAAAATCATCACATGTTTTGTTTTTTATTTGTCTATTTCATTATATCTAGGAACATTCATCTTATAGTGATATAGTGACAGCTGTCAGTTGCTCACTTATTATGAGTCCATACTAGTTTATGGAGAAATTACTGAAATTAGCATGTCTATGTGTGCTTGATGATGAAGATAATGATGTTGACTGTGTCTAAGAATCTGCAGCATCCTTATGCATGGAAGTTAAAGTGTGTGAAGAAGCTGATAATGAGGATGTGTGATGCTGCTGTGTGATGCTGCTGATGTTGGTATATATGATGATGTTGAGGTGTGACGATGCTGATTTGGTATGTGATAATGCGGATGTGTAATGCTGCTGAAGTGTGATGATGCTAATGTTGATAGGTGACCATAATGATGCTGATGGTATGTGATGATGCTAATGTGTGACGAGGATGATGATTGTATATGATGACGTTGATGTCAGATGCTGATGTTGTTTGTATATGTAACAATGCTGGAGTGCTAGTATGGCTGCAAGTTATAAATATATGTTTAGAGTGATTGTGTTACATAGTGTCTATGATAGTTAAGATATAGTGTGCAACTCAAAATGCTGTGTGTTTAGTGGTGAAAATGATGCATGACTATACTCTGTAAGTGTGTGACGATGGGAGTTATAGACTGATAGTATATATGAATCTATTTATTCCTCATGTGTTTTTCGATAAATAAAAAATAAACAAATATATATAAATAAATAAAAATAAAATTGATATTATCCCTGTTAATAATTAACATTTAAAATTACTTTTGCTAAATGATTCTCTTGGCATGTTTAAATGGGTTAAAATTTCCCTTGCACCGGTTGCAGTGCGCTTCCATAAAATTCTACAACGATACTACGCGATCTCTAAAAACTACAGCTCAAGCACCATTTCATCAATTAAATGATATTAATATAATACAAAAGAACTATTACTTACGCATAAGAACTCACCACAGTTCCCCTGTAAGCAATTTCTTTCCGTGAGGTGCGCGTAATACCCGCCATGCTTACATAAAAATAAAATCAAGTAGGAAAGCTCCGTGCGGGGAGGTAACTCTGCACGAACGTCAAAAA